GGCACTGAGCCTGGAAAGGGCGGATTTCACCACCAGGCTTTCACATTTCGCGCTGGTTTCATGGTTCACTGGATTTCCATATGGGGAGAACCATTGGTTTAATGGTTTCATGGTTCAATGGTCTGCCCTGTCTGTTCGTACCCTGCCTGTTCGAAACAACCCCCATGTTTCGAAACACACACCATCATATGTATAAAGCAGATTAAGACATGTTGTATTACGGAAATTGCACGAAATGCAGGGGGTGGGTGGGTGGTATATCCTCGTAACCACACAAAACGCTCGGGGATATACCCCCCTACTTTTTGTAGCTTTTTGTGCCAACGATTCCACACAGGGCTCAGTAATTTCATTAATCTCATCCGCATTTTTGTATTCCACGATATCTATAACCCTCATCTTCCTGCGTGTCAAATGTCGAAGAGATGCATGACATAGACAACTTGGAGGAGCAAAGCTTGCATACATCTGACTAATTTTGAAATGCAATGATTGAATTTTTGTGAATGTACCCGATCACTGTGAAGCATTCCGTCATAGTCTTACGATGAAAAGAGTACGAAATTTCTTTTTTGGTAAATCGAAATTATTTCCTCAGTATAACTACCACTTGCAATATTCCAACGGTTTCCGAGAGATACTATAGGTGTCTCAATGTTAAAGAAGAAGTCTCAAATCCTTGGCCCTGCACTTTTGCAATGGTAAGACTTTTACTCGATTAGCTAAACAAATATGCAGCATTCTGCGATGTTAGGGTCCTCCTATTCCCTTAGAGAAACCCCTCATGGAATATACTTCAGATTGAAAGGACGTCCCAAATCCTGAGCTACTTGTTCACAAAATCCCTGCTATATGGCTTCTAATAAACTCCCAAAACATGGTGATGCATCAAAATTGAAGGAAGAATTCTCAAATCCAAGCTTCTTCTTCACCATAAAACCTTTTTTTGGCTACATACATGTCTCGCAAATTCTAGCAAACTCTGAAATCCTAGGCCTCTGTTCGCCCCATTCTCTATGTATACATGCCATGTTGCAGCTATTCCAAATTTAAAAAGGAATTCTCAAGTTGTGGGCCTTTCTTTCTCTACATAAGTCCTGATTAAATGCGTCCCAAAGTTCAACAGAAACTAAATATTTATTTAGAATGAATATTGTATCCATTGGATATATGAGAATATTCCTGAAAAGGGGCTTATAAACACAAAAAGAAACCCAAAACTTGAGAATTTCTATATAAATCTAGAGCATGTATAGTAAGGAATCTTATACATTATAGGTTAATGAGGAGAACAGGATCGCAGGAGCGCAAAGACTACTTTGAGCCCAAAACGACGAACGACTAACCTAGGTTCCCCAGTAACCCATTAATAATAAGGGTACCCTTTTTCCTACTATTGAATTTTAATAAGGAGACCACCAAAAAAAGGCAAAAGGGTACTACTGGGGTACCTAGTAACTAAACAAGCTGACCGTAGAATGTACTATATCTCAGGTCTTACGAACGGAATAGAAATCTTTCATTAACAATGAAGATAAAGACAAAGTATGAAGTTGACTTGAGAAAAGTGGAAGCTCCGGTTCCTTGTAGTTGTATCTGTTGATCGCATACAAATCCAATAGAATCAGAGGGTTTAGGGTTTAGAGTTCAAGACAATAATTCGATAATACTTGAGCTATGCCATGGAAGTTTCAGAGTCCAGGAAAGGCTAGTCTAGCATGATGCTGTACTCTATAAGACTTTATGCTATAGAAAAGGGGTAGAAAATCAGGTAAATCAACTGCGCAGGCTATGGTTTTCTAATAAAAAAGGAATTAAGGGGGGTAGTATCTATATATATATATATCACTCTCTCTCTCTGATTTTTGAAGCTGTATAATTCTTGACTGAAACATACTGCGCACGCTGCCTCGGGCATGCTGGTCCCCGACTAGGCCAACCCATGAGTCAAAGATCACCCTAACCGGCGTCGACCACTCTCCCATAATCTCAGACCCCCAACTGCAGCGGCTGCTAGAGGGCCTTGCTCGGTGCATGTACGTTTCTGCAAAGGCGTCTAATTCTGATCCACTCCTAGCGACGTTTGCACCCTTCCATACCCATAGTACGGTAACTTACTTTAAGTTCCTAATTCAACAGTTGAAGCAGCAAAAAAGTTTACGCCAAATTTCGGGAGAGTATACGCTTTGCTGGAATTCTCAAAAAAATCGTAACCCCAATGACCCACAGCTTCACGGCAACTAGCCCATGATAAAACTTACGAAGGTTTGAAAAAGTCATTGGAGTTACAAGTATTTCTTGAACCCCAAACTTTCCCACTATGGCACAGCAACACTTCATCTCTGCTACGAGGGCGACATCGGTACGCGACCATCGACGCCAGCGAAGCAAAATTCCTGTAGCCATATTTCAAGAATTAGACCCTTCATTTCAGATAATTGTCCATAACATGAGTCCTGGACTTATTTGAAGGTCCACCAAGTAAACCAAACAAAGGCATTGCAAAAGGCAAACCTAGATGCACGTTGGTGTGGTTGAGCTCTTGCTGCAACCGAAGCAGTTCCTCGTCTGTCACCTCCCTTGTCTGATGGTTTCTGGCGCGCTCCTGCTTCTGGGTTGTGGGCTGGGGAGCTTCAACAATTGTTTACAAGGACACTCGATCCCTCGACTTGGGTATAACTCACAGTGGCCAGATGCAACACTATGCAAGTAGCCAAACAAATTCCCTGAACAGGAGGTGTCCAAGTTTAGGGGTAGAGATGTCTTAGCCCAAAACCTACAGTAAGCACTTCGCGCCAATAAATCCTTCGTTTCACCTCCCTTGGTTGAACTGATTTCTGTTGTGGCGCTCCTGCGCGGCGGCATCCTCTAGCTCTTCATTCAGCACCTGTACGGACTCAAGGGTTATTATTACTATTATTCTTATTATTATTATTTTTATTTTTTATTATTGCTATTATTATTGCTATTATTATTACTATTATTATTCATATTAATATTATTAGTAGGTTTTATGTCTAGGCAACCCTGCTGCGCGACTCGGGGTGCCTCGCGAAAACGGCGCCCGAATAAGTGTGTACCTCCTGCTTGTCCTGGCATGTACCCCATTATCCCTCGCAAATTTTGGGCTTGCGCCCGAAATATTTGATAAAGGTATCGATTTGTTTGCTTTTGGCCCTGCACTACATGATGACAGCGTCCCCAGCCTTGGTGAAAGCCTTCTTGAAAGCCATGGGCCATGAGGCTTGAGGGGCCCCGGGCAAACGTGAGCCCAACGAGCCCTGTGATGGCCCCTAAGATGCCTTAAAGGTGAGGCGTTCGAGGCCTCCTGGTTGCACAGTAGCTCCTAACGGTGGCATTGCTGCTGGTTCTTGGCCCAGTGCCAGCTTGACAGCACCATGGTGGACGGCTCTGTTGTTTTTTGACCTCATTGCGGCACTGATCGTCCTAAACCCATGACTTGCCTCTCATTGCCATGACAACAACATCATGCCCATTTTCTACAACCAGCGCTGGGTACAGGTATCCAGGCAGTCAGTGGCCTTTAGTGCAGGTGAGTTCCCCGATCCGCTTGGTTGCAAGAAATCCTGCGGTCCGAAGTTCCGGGGGTTCCTTGATTTGTCATAGGCGTGCCTTCGAAAAAACACACCGCGCAGCTCAGCCTTCTCATTTCCCAAAACACGTTGCACACCCAACGCCTCGGGCCCAGAAACCTCCAAATCTTGAATTGCCACCAAATACAGGATGTCGATGTGTTGTTGACCTAGATGGGCATAATTGATTTCAGGTCTTCAGTCAAAAGATGAAAAGTGAGTTTGGGTGGTTAGGCGGCCTCGGACGGCGTGTGGTAGAATGTGTGAGATGGCCTGCCACCATCAGGCGACAACAGCGTGTCGCACAGCACGATGCGCTTTCTACTCGACAACACTCACTTTCCTGCGGCCCGAGTGTAGGCTTTGGGAATCGGAGCTTTGAGCTTTAACGGTTCTGGACATGCAAACCGAGTTGGGCTTTCAATGCGCGAGGGGGCCCCTCCCAGAGAATCTGTTGCGTGTCCAGGTTTGAACTCCCCGCCGGCGTGACACATGAAGATTAAGCTTTCGTGTCTTGGTCTGCGTCTTGACTTGGCGTGGAACCGGTTCATCCAGCCATTTCCTTAGGGAGCGGCAGAACAATCTAGCGGTAAAACTGCAGGGCACGTGCGCGCAGCAGTTTTGCGGACAAATTTTCCAGGATGTCCCCTTTTCCTCCGTAGTATACGCGAATATGACTGAAGCCCCTTGTTGCGGGATACCTGGGAAACCCTGCAATCTTGTTTTTTTTCCTGAGGAAATGAAATGTATAAAGTTAGGAAAGCAGCCTGGCTTGTAAGAGTCTTGAGTCAGCCTAGAGCGGCAATAAGAGCAGGACCTTCATCATGAGCCAAACATCCCAGCTTGAATGGGCTCGAGGCGCAGCTAGGCCACCAAGAAATGAAAACACATCACCCATCAAGTACCTGAAGCCACCATGGCTCGATTCTGATGTAAATTTGTTGTCGCTGAGCCCAGGGCCCATGAAATCTAGCTTCACAATGCTTGGTGTGCAGGTTTGCACCCTAAGCCCTAATAAGCAAGCCCAAGAACGCGGTTTAAAGTTAAGATTTAGTGTCCTCGCCAACCGGCAACGTCTAGAACTGCAACAACCAATGACGGCTTTATGCTATCAATATTGCAAACTCCTGTCGTCAATGCTGAGCTCCAGTTCTAAACATTGTTCCTGTGTTTATGACATGGTAACCTCCAGTAAAATAGAAAGCCGCCATATGAACCCCAATAAACTTGAATGCCTCGCTTTCGGGACTCCCAACAAAAGGTCCTGATTTTTTTTGAAGCCCTGAACCATACCCCAATATTGTCCCCACATACCCCTATACCCGCATACAACCCCTATTGACCCTATTGACACTCGTGAAAAACGAAAGTTCTTGGACGCCCCCATAAGTTTCACATCAGGTGAGCCTGGAAAATTGCCGCTGCTTGGGCCCTCCTTGCTCCGATACGGCGCTCGAGCAGTGTCCTGAACTCATGGTTCATTGTAATTAGGCTTGTAAGTATTCAACAAGCTCAAGACTGCACACCCCGACCCTAAAAACATAGACGCCCTTTCTGAAAAAGCCCTCATGCTTCAATCCTCGACCCCGAGCTAACGGTTTTAGGCCTCAGCTCTGAGTTCTTAATTACTGAAGCTTTGGAAGACAATTATACAGGCTACGCCGTCCTCCCAAGCACCTAAAACATACCAAAAAACCTCCTGTGCCAGAGCGCGTTGTTCGCGGGAACTCCGGCATGATGATGGGTATCATAGTTGACAGTTGATGACGGTTTAGGGTCTATATTTCAGGGTTTGTGGTTTAGGGACGTCATGATGCTCGTGATGGCAAATGCTGCGGGTATGCGCGGTCATGGGGGATTCGCACATCAAGAGCAATACTGGCGAGTACCTGTTGAACAACTGCCTAAACTTTTCGTGAAAGAAGCCTGTACATCCTCGTCAAACAAGTGGCAGCTACCTCTGTATCCTGTTCTGTGGGACCATATGGGTTGTGGAGTCGAAATCCTGATGCCCGTGCTCCCATTCTGGAAAACCAAAAGCAACAAACACGTCCCATGAGTGGCATGAAACCAAGTATATGGCCATCTTCCCTACCACCATCAACCCTAGACCCGACATCTAAATGCCAAACCAGGCTCAATGTGATTCGTAGAAGGTTGAACCGAGATAGGCGTCTAAGCCTGGGTGCCGCAGCTGAAGGCAAAATGATTAAGTTCAGCAGAATTGCTTGGGGTGCCCGTTGGGGCCCGCCAAAAATTAATTACACGCACACATATGCAATCTGAAAACCAAAAAACGTCTCCAGAGGAGCACCCAGCAAGGGACTGCGGTGCAAACTCCCAATCCCCGCAATGCTACGGTGGATGGAAGAAACGTTGCACCACTTGGCATGCCAAAAATCCAGTACTTACCATTGTTGTGGCTACATGTGCAGGCAACTGGAAAATTCCAATTCCATGTTATAACTCTAAGTCGTCACAACATGTGAGAATTGCTTTAGAGCAGATGAAAGAACCCGACAAGTCGAGCGTGGAAGGCACAAATGTCATTGCACGCACGGGAAATACGTACGCACAAAACCCCAAACGCCAACCCCTAAACATAACAATGGGAAGATGCTGATGATAACAGTAGCTTGGTGTTTCAACATGGACATGGAGGCTCCCATGCAGGTTCGCCCGGCCCTGGGCCAGGCCAGGGCTTTGGTAGCACGAAAGCGAAGCCTGCAAAACCGACCGGGCCAAAAGCAATGCACGAACCCTGTGTGGGGGGCTGAGGTTTACTCATAATGCTGCAGCGTCTGCAATGCGGCAGCACATTAACCAGCAATGTAGCTCCTGCACAACACTGCGCCGCCAACGCTGCACTTTCAAAAAACATCTCGACACTCCTTTGTGCCAATATTCTCCATTCCTCCACTTCAACAGGAGCCAGCGCCGAGTCACTACAGCCCAATCCTCGCATCGGTGCTGGCATCGGTGCTGGCATCGGTGTTTGCGAAGATTGGACAGCCAAGCTACGCAAACTCCGTGATAAAACTACTGACGTATGCCCACCCTGCAAGCCAAAGGCTCCGCGAGCACTCTTGCCATCAAACCTCTTGCATCCGCCTAGCCAAAGCGCATGCTTCATACAAAGTGATGCACATGCTGCCGACCCCAGCGAAACAAAATTCCAGACGTGTCGTGGACGCATTGTTGAGGCTTCCCCGCTGCACTTGAGGGTTTGGGACATTTTTGCGGCCAGCTCATCCGTTCACATCTTTCACGGGTCATCGTGACCCGGATTTTTGAGGATCCCTATATGTGCTGCATCAAGAGGGAAAAGGGGGCCCGAACAAGCCCCATGATGGTCAAAATGCTGGTTTCTGGGGTCTGCTGGATCCTAAAATGTGCTGTAGAAGCGGAAACCCTTCAACACATCTCAAAATACGCGCTGCTGGCAATGCTTTTAAATTACCAGCATTGGTAACATCTGTGCTGCATGAGGAGCATGCGCACGGACCTACACGCGCAATGCAGGCCCAGCACTGGCAACTGTGCATTTTGACTGTGTTGACGGCGTGTTTGCAGGTATTTCCAACACTTTTGAAGCTCATGTGTTACCAAGGGAAAAATGAGCGCCAGAACGTAGGGAACTTGTTTTAAAAGCAATGCGCAATTCGCCTTGGATGTTGTCTTGGGATTTTACCACTTCTTTCAACTTCAACCCAAAATGGAATCGCAAGTGTGGTGATGATGCTCGCCTATGGGGTGCGCGCGAGCAGCAGATGCATCTTCAGGAGAGTTGGGCGTCCATTTTGGCTTATGAGGCGCTTAAACGCAAAGAAAGTACAATTGAACACCAGTTTGGACAGGAACTTATCCTGGTTTCCTTCGGGTGGTCAGGATTGCTGCCAGAGGAGCAGCAGAAGTCGGTGCCGGGATTTACAGCCGGCCAGGCCGGCAAATGCCGCAGGCCCTAAATGTTATGGGTCAGAATGTTCTTGGATACCGTTTTGAACCCCTGTTCAAGTTTCAATAAGTGTCCGCATTTTACTTCCGAAGCGAAATCTCACACTAGCTAAGCACAAAATACAAACCTGGACCTAGAGGCAGCTGCCGATCTGTTCTTTCGAGCTTGTAGTCTCGCGCATGCCTTCCGGTATACATCGTTTGGGATGCAATGGTCTGAGGAAACTAAAGGCTTTGGTAAAGCGGGTCGAGGAGGCTGGCTTTGCGAAGAAACCCTGGAACAGCAGGACAGCTCCTCAAACTGAGGCCCCACCACAACGTCTGGAACGGACTAAAGGAAGTAGGAAGACCAAGCAAAATGGCAGATATACCTTGTATGTTGAAGATACACTAACCTCTAATCCCTAAAACGTTAAATGCCGTAGCTAGACTTCACAATGAGCCAGGGCCTGCTTGAACTTTCTCTTAATCATGGCAAGCCATCGCAAAGTTAGCAATACATAAATATATATATGTATGTATATATAAATATATACATAAATGCTACCCCCCCATGTACCTACCCCTTTTGCCTTCCATTTGAAAACTAACTTGCCGAAGGCCTAAGGAGGCACTGCTCACCTGTGACAGCCCAACCGTGCACGGTTCAAGAACTCTTGTCTTTGAGAAACCCTCCTGTTCTTGAGAGGATAGGAGAAATCTCTTCTTAACAACTATTGCCCTTGAAAATCTGGTCCCATTGTTCTTTAATAGTTTGAAAGCATGTACACAGGCTTGGGGCTTCTCACGTTTCATCACATGTCAGCTATGCATTGTTACGAATGTGGAATAGGTCATATCAAAAAGCACAAAGGACTTTCGTGTTGCTGTCGGTAAATTGCGAGATTTGATTTGCCCAGGATAGTTGAGAACAAATCGCTTGTCATGAGAACAATCTAGACCAGTTTGTATGCTCCTCACTACACTACAAACTGTTGTTATGTTTTTGTTTTGCTGGTCGCGTGTTTTTCTGATACCAGAGAGGGCTATCTTGCTATGACAAGTTTGATTTTTTTTTTGCGTATCAAGAAGTTGATTGCTTTATCTTGCTATTATTACACGGAGCGCTCATACCTCGTTGAACCACTTGGGGCTCCACTCCTCACTCACATACGATACAAAACGTTGTGTTTTGTTGTTCTGCTGGTGAGGAAATCTCAATCGTCATGTTATTATACCACACGTCCTATTTCTTGCAGGAATTCCAAGATATCTCATGTCTTTCGAACGTCCAGTCGGCTGTCACAAAAACCCTGGCATTAGCAAGAACTATTCATTCCAGACCGGGCAGCGTACGCCTTTTTGCGATGACAAGCAAGATGTTTCTTATGGCTTCTCGAGAAGTTGAATGTTTCATATCGGAACACAGCTTAGGGTTCGGATGGGTGAGATTTCTCTTGTACAAGGCCCCAATTGAAACCAGGGTCACTGTAACAGGAGACCAAAAACGAGACCGGGGGAGTTTCTTGCGTTCCTGGTTCGCGGCTACAAAACCATTCAAAACCGTAAAAACAATGACCAAAAACATGTCCTGATCACACAAACTTGGGAAACAAGAAACGAACAAATACCACGAGCTTCAAAATCATGCTTTTTGGTTCTTACAATGGTTTTCATCGTCAGGACCTCCAATCCATGACAAAAACCAAGAAAACCGCGAAACACCATGCACAACCTTGAACAACACCGAATGTTCGAACTATCTAAGTAAATTATCAGCGCTTGTGTTTTTCGTTTTGGGTCTGAAGCCCCTGACCATGAAAACCATTGCTAAAAACAATGGAAAACCCATGATAAACTTTGGAAAACAAAAAAGTGACCAGGAAATGAACATTCGGAGTTTTGGCGTTTTTTTTTTTTACAGTCGCTTTCGTGGCCAGGAGCTCCAAACAATTGCAAAAACAAAAACATGCATTTTCAATGTGTCCAAATGTGTGTGTGTGTGTTTTTTTGGGTGGTGGAGAGGGGGGGGAAGGGGGGGAGGGCGCGGGGGGAGGTTTGGCTTGTCCAAGCTTCTCATAGTCAAGGAACGCTTTCTTGATTTCTGCAAGGCTTTCACGGTCAGGACATGCTTTTCATCGTTAATCCATATCAATGTTTACACTGATATCTGAATGTTATACATCTAAGACTCTGGAAATTTAAAGAAGTGAGCAAAAAGTTTATCAAAAGAACATCACAAAGAAGGTAGGCGCTTTGGGGGGGGGGGGGGTAGCACCATACATACATATGTACATGTATATATATATGTATATATAATATGTATACGCATGC